GGCAATGGTGGAATTCAAACCCATCTGTCATTAGTTACCTTTAGTCACCTGCCAGACAGACTCAGTTATAAGCTCACTATCACAGAAGAGACTGCCCTAATTCCCTCCAAGGAGGACAAATCCTGAGGTGCACTTCCCCTGCACCACCTTCCTCTGTAGCTCTGAGCACAGTGCTATTTTTATCCCCATTCTAGTAAATATTGAATATTGGGTCTACCTCTCCACCAAACTGCAATCTCCAAAATGTACAACTTTTCCTCATTACCCTTATTTATTTAGATCTCTGGCCTCTGTAATAGTACCTGGTACATAATAGGTTCCCTGTTCACTGGTTTAATGTATGCTCAGAAATCACCGGCAGCTTAGGGCACTACGCTAAAGAAGCACAGCCCCCAGGGTCCACCCATGTGTAGGCACAATGCCAGCTGAGCAGAGTGGCAAGAGAATGCCCAGGGGATCTTGAAGTACAAAACTCACAGTGGTGACACAGGGCAGCACATTCACATTTGAAGGAGAGCAGTGTGAGGGATGGTCTCTGGGGTCATGCCACCTGAGCCAAATCCTACCAAGTGCCCAAGGCCACCTGCTTAATCTCCACATACGTAATATCTTCATCTATAAATCTGATTAACAACAGAACCTACTGCCATGTAATTACTAAGGAACAAATAAATAAAAAAATACCTTAGACTAAAAAAATACCTTAGACTAAAAGCTTGCTCTTTATTTTTTTTTCCTAATTTTTGGTAGCTATAAATGGAAAGCATGCCTTTATTTTATTTATTTTTACATGGTGCTGAGCATCAAACCCAGTGCATCACACATGTTAGGCAAGTGCTCTGCCACTGAACTACAGCCCCAGCCCAAAAGGCTTGCTCTTAATAAGCACATAAATAATTACCATTGCTAATGATTGTTACTATGTTTAAAAAAAAAAAAAAAAGAAAGAAAGAAAAAGAATTCCTGTTTGTCATTTGTTTTCCCCACTGGACCAAAAGGCTGCAAGAAATAAGGAGGAGGGCTTTCTTTCCCTTTGGTCACTTAATACAAAGCAAACCATTATAGTTAAAGGATAATGTAATTACACCAATGATTCATCATTCCCAGCAATGGCCCTGGGTTTCTCGACAATCTCGGGTAACTTTCAGGTTTGAAATCATGTGATTCTATGTCAATTTACTTCTTAAGCTAGACCAAGAACCCAAAAATCTGCTGTGAAGGAACGAAATTTCATTTTTTTACTCCAAGTAAAAAGATACAGTCTAAATATAATTTGATACAAACATCAAAATCTCAAATTTGACAGCTTCAACTCTATCTTAAAAAAGGAAGCATCTCTTTTTACGATTGCTTTCCTAATAGAAAAATAAACTCCTTTGATCTGGTATTTTATTAGCTATCTTGCAACTAAAAATACTATCAAATATTTTGTGATTAAAAAAAAGTTACAAAGACATTGTTGACTCAAGTAACAACATTTTAATATGAACCTGGAAAAGTATGAAGTTGAATTTCCTGGCTATTATAATGGCACTAAGATTATTTATAAGACTGCTTTTGTTTCAAGATTTGACTCCTCCTTACAAATGTTCTCGTGATCGTATCTACAGGTCCTTCTGTGCACTGAAACGTACAAATTACTTACTGTTCATCAACCCAGTTCGTACAATTTTGTTTGCTTTTCTAATCCATTCTGCTTGCTTCTTTCTGTTTTGTTCTTCCTGCTCTTTAAATCTATAATTCTGTTCCTCTCGTATCTTTTTTTCTTAAAATACTTGAGGCAAAATCACAGGCAGTTCACAGGCTATGTTGTTTATACTCAACTCTGAAAGTGAAAGCAACTGGAAATGAAGGAAACAAAAATAGTTGTTAAATCTCAGCATTTCACAACAAGTCTGCATCACAGGGAAAACCCCAGGGTTTTATAGCAATATGGGGTTTTTGATGGGGAGGGACATCAGGGATTAAACTCAGGAGCACTCAACCACTAAGCCACATCCCTTGGTACATTCTTGCCTTGCATTTCATTTAGAGACAGGGTCTCACTGAGTTGCTGAGGCTGGCTTTGAATTTATGATCCTCCTGTCTCAGCCTCCTGAGCCGCTGGGATTACAGGCATGTGCCACCTGTAAGCAATGTTTTAAGCAAGTCATACAGAACCATCACATAGTATCATAATATAAAATATTGACCCAGTAGAAGCACTAAGTCCTTTCTAAGAATGGACTAGCCTCTGAAAACACAGTCCCATAAACAAGATGTTGCAGTCTAGCACAACAAAAAAGAAATGATTTTTTTAAAAAGAAAATGATATTTACTACCTGCCCTTCAAGTTCTTGAGGGCTCAGGATCTGCTTATCAGTCCAATGACCAGGCTTGGTTTCATAATTTTTATTTTTTATTTTTTATGCCACATAGGAACAGTGAGCCTTAAGAGGAAGGGGAGGGAGAAAACAAGTAGGAGGCAGGGTTTTGTTATATGAATGTTTAGGCAAACAGCCACACTGGTTTCAAATTTATGTAATTCCTAAATGATCTACCCCTTTACAGTCTTTATAGGCACATAATGTCTCTGACTATTCTTTTATATCAAGAGCACTCCAGATATTATAGGTTCTCCTGTGAGGGCAAAACAAACATAAAAAGCCCAGGTAAGAAAATGCTCTGCCAAAAAAAGGTGTTTCAGGCAAAGTGAGATGACAGCCTTGGGGACAAAAGACCAGTTTACTGGTTCTTACAAGTCAAGTAATGTTATATCTGTAGCTAACAACCTGTGTTATACACTGAATAGTTTAAGACACTGAATAGTCTATTAAGAGGGTAGATCTCATGTTCTCACTACAATAAAATAAATTTAAAAAAAAAAAAAAGAAAGAAAGGATTAGTTATCTGCTGAGTGGTTTTCTAGTGTGCCCTCAGGGACAGCTGGGAGTGAGAAATGCCAGTACACTAAAATGCGGCAACACAGACACCACCCATGTCCCCTCCTACACACACACACACACACACACACACACACACACACACACACACAGCCGCTTCCTCCTTTGCCAGCTAACTTCTACATCCTAATTCCTCTGTGTGCTTCATGTGGTTTTGGTTTGTTTTTTAACATCCCACTCTGTCCTTGCCTAGGAGACACAGCATGGTATACAATCATGGGCAAAATCCTCAAGATCATGCTCTCCAAGAACCTGAAAATCCTAGTAACGCATATGCCCCAAACCAGCTCTACAAGCCAAGCAAGAGGCCAGAGACCCCAAATGGCCACCACACAGACCCAGGCTCACCCCAGGGGGCGCCCAGGCACCAGGGACCTGCCAACAGCACAGGCTGAGGTTTCTGCTCCTCTCCCTGCAGGGACAAGTAACAAAGAGTGACCAACTCAAGAGCCCCACTGGGTGTTCTCCCTCTAGGCAAACTGTGGAGTGTGGCCTAGAGACTTGCAAGAGGCTGGCCTCAAGGGGCTCAAGGATGGCCAAGGCGGGGGTGAGGTGGTCTAACTATGCTGGGGGGGGGAGCAGTGCAGCCTGTGGGTGGGGAGCACCCACAATGCATTGTGGGGGTCTGGCACTCATAAGGCACCAGACGGCAGCCTCTGAATCCATGCACACCTGGGGCGTGGGTCAGGGAGCCCAGAGACAGGGAAAGGGAGTGACTGCCACTCTTTGTTAAGGTTGGCTGCGCTCAGGGTGGCGGGCGAACAGAAGGGGAGTGGAAAGAAGATGCGAGAATCACAGTTCAGAAGTTCAACCCTCCTCCCCTCTTCTGGAAAGCTGAGCACCTCCCTACTGTACCAGCCTCCTGCTCGTCTCCTAGGGCACTGAATGGACACTCCAAGGCCACCTCCCAAGGCCACCATCATCTGCTGCATGCTCCTCGACGGGCTTACTTTCTGCTTTTCTCCTGAGGGCCCCGGGCTCCGACCACACCAGTGAGACCCCTCTTCCTCTCCTGGTCAGTGGACACTCCACTCTCTCTCGCTGGCAACCCCTGCCTCCTGTGGCTGAGGCAAAATATCAACAGCAAACAGAGCCCTTGGGATGGCCAGGATCCCCGCAAACACTTGGTCACGTGAACTCATTTACTCCACACGACCACCTTCGAAGGGACACTGTCTGTGTCCCCCCACCTGAACAATGAGACACAGAGAGATGATGTGACTTTCTCAAGGTCCCACTGCTCATAAGTGGTAAAGCCAAGGTTTAAATCCATTGTCAGCAACAAAGTCTCTGCTCCCCACCCACAGGCTGCGCTGCCCCTCACAGCACAGTTCAGACCACCTCATCCCCTTGGCCATCCTGAGCCCCTTGAGGCCAGCCTCTTGCAAGTCTCCAGGCCACACTCCACATTCACCTCACATGAGGACAATCCTCAGCTTCTCTCCCCACCTAGATTAGAAGGCCCATAAGAGCAAGGCTTCATTTCCATATCATCTGTATTCATTTTCTATTTCCGCTGTGATAAATTGCCACTAATTTGATGACTTGTAAAAACAGACATTGGGGAGGGGGGGTGCGGGTACCAGGGATTGAACCCAAGGCACTTTAACCATTGAGCCACATCGCAGGCATTTTTATGTTTTGAGACAGGGTCTCAGTAAGTTGCTGAGGCTGGCTTTGAACTCAAAATCTTCCTGCCTCAGCCTCCTGAGTTGCTGGGATTACAGGCATGCACCACTGTGCCCAGTTTACAACATGCATTTTTCTTTTTTTGGTGGTGGTTGGGGGGGGTGCCAGGGATTGAACTCAGAGACACTCAACCACTGAGCCACATCCCCAGCCCTATTTTGTATTTTATTTAGAGACAGGGTCTCACTGAGTTTCTTAGCTCCTCATTTTTGGTGAGGCTGAATTTGAACTCATGATCCTCCTGCCTCAGCCTCCCAAACTGCTGGGATTACAGGCATGCACCACCCTACGTGCCTACAACATGCATTTCTTAAGGTCAGAAGTTCAACATGGGTCTCTGCAGGCTACAACCAAGGCATCAGCAAGAGTGTTTTCCTTCTGGAGACGATCTGTTTCCCTGCCTCTAGGGGTGCTCACTTTCCTTGACTCATGGCCCCTTCCTCCATCTTCAAAGCCAGCAACTGATCATCTCTGTGACCCTTCCATGTCTCCATCTGACCACAACCAGGAAGGTTCTCTTTTAAGGACTCACGGGATTAGATTGGACTCACCTGAATAACCCAGGATAATCACCCCATCTCAAGGTCCTTAATATGGTCACTCCTTGCAAAGTCCCTTTTGCCATGTAATGAAATCTATTCACAGGTTCCAGGTACTAAAATGTGGACATCTTGGAGCCATTATTCTACTACCACCAACTTTGCATATAAACCAATGGAGCCTCCCCCTGACAAATACGGGATTGATCTCCGTCACACTCCAGCTGAAGCTCCTGGATACCGGAGTTATGGTCCTTTCATGACCCCTTTATGTGCTGAGCATTAGACTTGTGGCCCCCAAATGACAAAGAGCTCTTTAAACACCCCTTTTGGGTTGGGGATGTGGCTCAAGCGGTAGCGCGCTCGCCTAGCGTGCGTGTGGCCCGGGTTCGATCCTCAGAACCACATACAAACGAAGATGTTGTGTCCGGCGAGAACTAAGAAAAAATAAATAAATGTTAAAATTCTCTCTCTCTCTCTGTCCCCCTCTCTCTCTCACTCTATCTTTAAAAAAAAATAAACACCCCTTTTAACACCCCCCAATAATGAGAGCACATAATGGACACACAGATTTTTGACAGTCTGGGGATAGAACACAATGCTAACAAATCAGGGGTTTGATCCCACTTCAAAAACTGTTTTCCTCTTTGCTTTTTAAAACATAACACCTTGTTTCAAAATATAAAAAAATATCACAATACTAAATAAAAATTCTCCCTCTCTCCTTGCCTCTTAAGCATTTTTGTATCCTTCTAGAGGTATTTTATGCATCTGCAAGTAAATGGTAGCACTACATACATCCCTTCCTGTTCCCCTCTCTTTTTACTTAACAATGTAGACTGCTCTACATCTTATTTTTTGCACCTGCATACTATTCCACTGTGCAGACGTACCATAACTGATTTCACCAGCCCGCACCCATCTCTCTTATGCTAAATCGACTGTGCTCCATGAATACTTGTGAGTACATCTGAGGGATATTTTTTTCAGTAAGTGGAATTTCTGGATTCAGTAAGATCATGTGAATTATTAACTATGACAGAAATTGGCAAGGTACCCCCTGCAGAAAATAGTTGAATTAATTGTTTTCCCATATCTTCCCTGACATGATCAGTTTTCAAAAACTTTTTTTAGGGGCTGGGGCTGGGGCTCAGTGGCAGAGTACTTGCCTAGCATGTGTGAGGCACTGGCTTTGATCCTTAGCACCACATACAAAAATAAATTTTTTAGAAAAAGGCATGCTGTCCATCTACAATTACAAAAAGAAAAGAAAAAAAAAAAACTTTTTTACCCTTGCCCATCCCAGACAGATGAAATATGGTCGAGTGAAATTTAACTGGTATTTTTTTTCAATTATGCATGAGATCAAGCACTTTTCATATGTTAAGGGAGCCACTGATTTATTTTATATGAATTATTTGTTCATATCCTTGACCATTTTCTTATAGTTTTTATTTGATTTGTAGGAGTTCTTTTGTGCTAGGGAGATTAATACTGAGTCCATAAAACAGTTGGAAATGTATTTTTCTGGTTTGTTTTAGGTAATGAATTTTATCCTTCTTTTCCTTATGGCATCTAGGTTTTGCACCGTATGTAGAAACATCACTCCTACTCCGAAATTAGGAAAATTATTCTCCTTTGACTCTTCTAGAGAGACTACTCATCCATATA